TTTTTATTGTCCAGCATGCGGGTTGACCATTTCTCTTTAAGAGAATGTAATGGAGCTAATTTCATCCTGAGTACCGGATCTATGTCTGTACAGCGAGCCAGGCATATCCAACTGCAAAAGCAGCGCAAAGGCTCGAGACTGTCAATTTCCAATTGGCTGCACTGCGGAGAGTCGAGCAGAGAGCGGCTGCATTCTTTCAGGCCTTGCAGTGACATGCTCCCTCATAAGTTCAGGATTGATTGCCGATGAGCTCTCCCCACTGGCAGTTTCCAAAAAACAAATGGCTCCATTGGCTCCATACGGGCCAATCAAAGCACTGTTGCCCAAGTATCTCCTCCGAACTTCAGCAAGGTAGAATGCAAGCTAATGTAAGATTTTGTCAACCTCATAGCATTTGCACCTTGGCGTTTGTGGCTTCAGCCTTGTGTGACTCAAGACCTACCCATCAACGTTAACTCTGAACCTGTCTCAACCTGCAAACCCCCACGGCCCAATCATAGCCCTAACCTCAAACCACCATTGACCATTAGACCCTGTCGAGCCAAATCTAAGGTCTCAACTTGTTTGACCCTTGACATCGATCTACCCCTATGCAATCGCCGTGCCAAGCAGACCTCACAAGCAAAGAGCTAAGAGCTAAGAATTGAAACTTCCCACTGCGGTGGGTAAGGATCTCAGCATGCAACACCACGAGCATTTTCAAGGAGACTCACCGGGCGAAGCCCGTTGCAAGCAAGCAAACGAGCGGCCCGCGGTTCACCAGGAAGGCAGTGGCGAAGCTGACACCCAAGCTCTTCGGGTGCCGGGCTTCCTCACGCAAGCGCTCTGCCTGGCTTGGACCGGCCATGGTGTGTGCGTGTGTGCTTTCAGTGACTTTGGGATGGATGCCCTTGGGCTTTCGACGGCAACATGTATAACTCTTGCAAGGGTTGCTCAATTTGTCAGGCAAGACCCATAATTTCTCCTGGCACACGCCTGCCTCCATGCTCACCCACAGCGCCGTCTGCGCGGCCCCGGCGCCCTTCCGTGCCAGGCCCGAGCCCCGCAAATGCGAGGTGCGGCAGCCAAGGGGTGCTGCCAAAGCCGCCGGGGACCGCCGCAGCCTAGGGGATCTCAAGTGCCTACTCACTCTGAGCTAAACATCCAGCATTTTCAGCCAAACAGCTGAACACCACGAGCATCACTGCATCACCCTTACAATTTGACTTACAACAAAGTCCGATAGGATCACTCCAAAGCTTGTCCAGGTTGCCCCTCCCATCCAAGCTGCGACGAAGCGGGCGGCTGCAATCCCCAGGTGCCTTCAGTGACTAGCCTCAGAAGCTTCCGATGCCAGACATGGTGTCAACGGGCTCGCAATCACACGGGCTCGCAGGTCAGCAAGTTGACTCCCGATGCGCAGTCAAAGTCTCCTATCTTCATGGCAACCAACTTCGCAAGCTGGTGCCCCACAGCAATGCATGTGAGTTCCAAAAACCGGGGGACACCTGCTTCACACACTTCCTTTCAGTTCGCTTTTCGGTCGCAACATCTGCATTGCGGTCGCAGCACCCACATGCTGCACTGCCGGTATGTGCTTAGGTCTCCCGCAGCCTCGGCGCGTCTGGCATGTCTGGCACTGCCCTGGGAGGCGGCGGCACTTTTACTTTGGCCTTCGGTGCGCTCGAAGCCGAGCCACCTGCGTGCGCAGGAAGCAAGACCGAGCCAATCAGAAGCTGCACCAGCAGTTGCACCTTAAGCATAATTCGTGAGATGGAAAAAGCTGGCTTTCAAATGGTACTCTGCTCTGGGCAGTTGAAACACTGTCCAGCTTGCTCGTTCAAAATCATCGGGGAATCATGACCCGGCAGGCCCTACTCTGGTCGACTTTGATTGGGAGCTTCATGGACGGTCTCACAAGACGGTGAGATGTCGTTTCAGTCTTGTTGCGCATCCTCATGCATGAACAACACGACCTGAACCTCTCCATTTGCAAAGCTTGAAATTGAACCGCCGCCCCCAGTTGGCTGCGGGTCAAAAATATGTACCCAACATAAAATCCTGGTAAATGGAAACATGGACCAAAACCTGCGGTCCAATTCCTGGTGGTTTCATTTTGACCCATACATACCCATACCCAGTTCACACCGCCTCGCCAAACTTTCCCCGAGCCTGTGAGGCTGCAAAGCGGCGGCAACTCCGTCCCCTTGAGCACCGCCTGGCGATTCTGCACCCTCGATGCCCTGAGCCGTGGTGGGCCTTTGCAACAGGGCTATGTAGATGCGGTATGGATACGGTACAAATTTGGCAAGGGTCCTCCATACCCTCCGTACCCCAGATCTGTGCCAAACAAAAAGCATCGTCAAAACTGCTTGTGAATTGTTTTATGGGTGCGTGGGTACGGGGTACTGGTCCGGCCCGCACCTGTACCGTACCCGTACCATCCCCAAACCGTACCCGCAGCATTCCCATGTAGCCGCACCTGATCCGTACCGTACGCCTTCGATTAGAGACGAAAAGGAAACCCAGAAAAGCATGGATCTTAAACTAAAAAACAAAGGGTGCCTGGAATCACGGCATAGGAAGCATGCACGAAGACCCAAGACTCACTCAGAATCAAGAATGTTCGATGCACAGGACATGCGCCGACCTCTTCCTGCCGCCTCGTTCCCACGATGTAAAGCTGCTGGATGTGAGAATCGCGCATGGGACATGGATGCTTCATGCCAATTTGCGGCAGTGGGTTCAACAGTTCTGGGCACTGCCTCGATGCCTTTTGGCTTCTGTTGCAGGAGCGAACTAGCCATAAGCCCGAATCTAGGCTTCCCATTCAAGCCGAAGATGGCACCAAGATCGCACGTCATTGGTTGAGATATGGTTGCAATTTGCTCTGCACAAAGCAAGTGCCATCAAACACTCGGTGCTTCTCTGTCAAGCCAAAAGTCCTTGCACGGTGTGCCTGTTTCATTCCAGGCAGTTGTTGCCATGAATGCGGAGCTTGCGAATCAAAGCAAGCTGTCAGGGGCTATAGGGCACAGTGTAGCAGGGTGTGCTCATCTTCTCGAGCTACACTAAAAAATCAAGCACAAATGGCTGGGGGTCAAAAATAAGTACCCAAAATGGAACCCTGGTAAATGGAAACATGCACTAAAATCTGCCGTCTCCTGGTGATTCAATATTGACTGACGCACCCCCAAATGTGAGACCTTATGAACTCTTCTGCTTTTGTGTGCAACAGAAGGCTATCAGGCAGCACAAGACTTAGAGAAGCTCCTTTCGAAACTCCTGCACCAAGTTGCCTCCAGCCCAGCGCGTACCATTTTGTTGTTTGGAGTTTGCTTCGCAGAAGGCGCCAAGGGTTTCTGTGAAACTCTGGAATTTCAGCTCCCAAGCTTGGACGCAAACCAGCCAAGCCAGTCCAACGTTTAATCACAAAAGCACCGCATCTCCGGGCGATAGATATTTCAACCGAAACACAATTCATCAACAGTGCGCCTCCTCCAGCAGTGCCAGATGTCTCATTGCCGGCGTCTCTGCCTGTGTGCCTGCGCACGGAGGCGTTTCAAGGCTGGTCGGAAGTGGCCATCTGGCGCGCCATCGGGTTGGGCCCACTTTGTGTAAAGTGCACACAGCGCGCCGCAGAGTGGCCTTGATCTTGGAAGCAGCAACGCAGTGCCATCGACTTTCACAGATTCAAGACATCGGCAAAACCGCATCGGCAAAACCGCAAGTCATGGCTTGACAGGTCAACACACAAAGTGATTGGGGGGAGGGGTCCCAGACGCTTCCAAGAAGTCAAGCGTCCAGCTAAATTGCCCTGGCTCACTTCCTGAGTGGATTGGCCAACCAAGTCAGAACTTCTTAGTTACCACTACACTGGTCTTCCCAAAAAGTTTCAAGTCCAGGAACTAAGGAAGTGATGGAAGAGAGAACTGGAGAAGAAGTGGTGGAATTCAATCGGCAAGGACCCTCCCGCCTTCGGCATCAAACGGGTCGCCGCCGGCGCCCCGCACGCCGCCCATGAGCCGCGCAGGACGGCCCAGGACTTGTGAAGCAGGGGGGTTCCTGCAATGCGACCGGAGCCAACACCACGTCTTTGCAAACGCGTGCTTCTGAAAGCCCCTGGTTCAGCTTGACCTGCAAAACTCTTAAAGAAACACCACGTTCGTTCATCATTAATCACCCTTCCAAACATCAACTCAGTTCCATGCACCAGCAGAAAATAGCTCAACACCAGCCACACGAGACTTCCGACACGCTGCGAACCTTGAACTTTGGGCAGCCCATGTCTCATGGCTGTCGGTCGGGTCCTGGGCTTCCGCCTCGAGGTGAAGCGGCCCGGAGGGCTGGGCGCCCTCGAGGCCTCATACACCGAGTCGCCCTCCTCATTGAGGTGCTCCTGGATTGCGACTCGCGTGAACCTGGTACTACTGGTACAAGAACAAATTGCATGGCAATCGCCGGGCTGCACCCCCACAAGACCAAATTGTTTCTCAGTGGAAAACCATTTGCAGGATCTTGAAGGCCCTGCCTGCACCACCTGCTGTGTCAGCTGCGCTAGCAGCGCCTCGCAATCCATGGGATCAAGCCTGCGCAGAGCTCAGGGACGCAAGGGCAGGACCATGCAGCAATTCTTATGGGAAACGGTCTCCGCAAGCGCTTCCGGCTTGGCCGGCCTGTCAACGCTGCTGTTGTGTTGCACTTCGCGAGGTAATTCTGTAGCATCACTCACATGCTCCAGCTCAAACCTAGGCCAGTTCCAAACATGTTTGTTTAACACTTTGTTGCAGTACTGGGTAAGTAGTCTGCGTTGTCTGTACAAAAAGCGTCAGCATTCTTGAGGCATGCCGATTGCTCATGTCGACCGCAATACATTCAAATACAGGGCAGGGATGGCTCTCATCTTGATGGGCAATGACTGTCAATGGGCTGAGGCTAGGGCGGGCCCACCCATTGGTTTAAACAGTAAACATGCTTAAACCACTGGTTATGATGATTCTTCCCTTGTAAAGGTGGTGCTTAAACCATATTTTGCCCCACCCAGGAGGCTATAGGCCAAGAGAGCCGGAAGTCTTCGCGCCAGCTCCCTCGCACCTCCGCACCCTCCAGCGTGCCCGATTTCGGCGCAAAGGGCGGGCTGAGCCACACGGCGGAGGTGGCGGTTGAAGAGAACATGTGGGTATGGGTCAAAATGAAACCACCAGGAATTGGACCGCAGGTTTTGGTCCATGTTTCCATTTACCAGGATTCCATTTTGGGTACATATTTTTGACCCGCAGCCATGTGCCCATGGACAGATCCTCTCAAAGAAAGCTGTCATAGAGATTGTGGTGTCGGCAGCCGTCTCTTCCCAACCGGGCCGGGGCTGTCTTTGTGAACTCAAACAGCTTCAGGAACAGGCTACGGACTCATGAATTATTTTACTACATGTACACACCGCGTGGAATGCTCGACTTCTAACTCCATGACCCCGCTAGCAAAACACTGCCTGACCTCTGCAAAGCGCGATTTGATGTACTTTAAGAGTGCCTGGCAGCCAAGAACAAGATGATGTCTTCCCTGAATGAACCCCCAGCTTTGCGCTCGACAGCCAATTTCACTCACGGCTCTGTGTCGGTAATTCTGGTGTGCCAGCATGCTTGCTGACCATGAGTGGCCTGACATGACCTCGCGTCATGCAGGCTTCTGGCTTGCACTTGCCTCTGATTTCCCACTCTCATCCGCGGGGATTCTTTCAAGTGTTGTCAACACTTCTCGCAGATTTGAGGGGAGGGCACGAAAGAAGGAAAACTTGCGACTGCCTGGCTCTTTTCACTCTGCTTCTGCGAAGCAGAGCTAACCAAGGCAGGCTTAGGCTCAATGAAAAAGTTGCTTTCCCCGGGGCACGCACAGAAACAAGAGGTACTGAGTGACACATTGTCTTGACAAAAGGATTGATATTTGGCTATGTGCCAGTGCGAGGGAACATTCATGAGGAGGTCAACGCACACCAGTAGTTCGGCTGAATGAGCGTTCCACATTGTGGATCAGGGACAGTGTTTGCAGGCCTAATGGACCTTGGCCTTCTCTTCCTATGCTAGCGCCTCCGGTCATGAAAAACTACCAGAGCTGCAGAAAACTGCAAATGCCTCAATCTTCAACCCGCAATGTCATAGTCATTCGAGACTTGCTGCCGATATGAAAGCACAGGACATCACATTGCCAGCTGACTGCTCAGTATTTCTGCCGGTCAATCTGTCTGTGCGTGCCAAACTGTGCATGGCGCAGTTCACCTGCCACCAGCACAACTGCGGGAAGCATTTGTAAACATTTCTTGGAAAAATCCAGCAGCGTGGCAGAGGCTCAAGCTGCTTCAGAGCCTTCAAGCATGGTCTCCGTGCAACAGGCTTGAAGGCTCAGAAAATCTATTGAACGAATTGGAACCGCATGCCCCACCCAGCGGCAAATGGATCGTAATATGTCGAACTCATGGCTTGAATCACCATGGGTTGAGGGCTATGTGTCAGACAAGGACGGCAATTTCTAGCTGGCAAGAAACACGGCACTGCCGAGCACAGGAATATGGAGTGTTACCACCACTAGACATGCGAGGCAGGGTCAAAAAACAGTCGGTTCCCATGATTCCCCGAATTTCTGTGGGCAACTTAGTCCATGTCCAAGCTTCGATGTGACCCAAACCGTAAATAATCACAGTGTAAAACATGTTTACGTCAGGTTCAGTAACAAAAAAACTCAAATTATTTTTAACAGAGTACAATGCTATAGAATAATAGCAAAGTTTAAATATTTGACAATAGTGGGGTAAAGTTATTCAGGCGTATGGACAAAAAACTGCTGCAAGTTGTTCTGGCTAGGTATCTTGCAAATAAAAGGTGCACCGTAGAGAATCTCAAGTTCCAATTTCATGGTGCTGCTTTCTCTACAAGCTAAGCGATCGCTGGCATGGGGCCCAGCTGAGCCAAGTGGCCGCTTGGAAAATGTGCTCAGCAAAGGGCGTCTCCTGCAAGCGGAGACAACAGGGAGCCTCAGGGATCGATATGGAAAGATTTCACGGTTCTCTCAGCGCCTCGAAGCTGCAACACATGTTTGCAGTGACAGTGACCATGAACGCTGTTCACACTCCGAAGAGCAGCAGTTGTTGGGCCAGACTGCGCTTGGCCTTCAAGTTACTCCGAAGGGACGGATGATGCAAGCCACTCTGATTCAAAACTGACCGCCGGTCAAGAGCTAAGAAGTGCAGCATGTAGGACTTGCGACACAGACACAAACAATTTGCAGCAATGTGTTTCTTCCAGGATGGAAGTCAAACGCAGACGCAACAACTACAGTTTTCTGGGCAGAACAAAAGTGCATCTTGTGCACAAGTCTCAAGTTTCCTTCAAGTCAACTGTGAGCAAAGGCTTGATCATCGCTTGTTTCAACAAGCAAACAACTGCAGCAATCATTAAAACACACACACGCTCAAGCAAACACAACCAGCGAATTGGCAACCCCATCCCGCAGCTATCCCGCAGCTATACGACAAAGTAGAACATGACGGTGCTACTATGCTTACATTAGTTTCTCAGCACGTTCGCAAACAACTAAACTCAATACCAAGCAAGACTCGGCTTGACAAGCATTGATGTTGGACGAACTTTTAAGAGGGCTAGTTCGCACAGAACGTCTGAAGTTGGGAAGTGCCAGTCAGTAACTAAAGTTGCTGTGTGTCTTACCTCTGCACAACAAATGCGTCATGATCCATGGGCCTATTTCTCAATGCCGCTCTGATGCCAGCAAGGTTGCTAGGGAGCTCCGCCGAGTCAGCGTCCCAATTCTAGCAACATGAAGCAACCCTGCCGCGAGCTCACTCACGAATGACGGGGTTCTCTACACAAACTGCTTGAGAGAAAACCTATGGGCCACACCCATCCCCATGGACCGGCCCCGCTCCTGTGAGGTGCTTAGCACACCTGGCAACTCCGAGCCAAAGGACTCGTGGGGTGTGTGGGAATGGTCCGGCCGCAGGCTTGACATTTCCGGCCGCAATCTTGGCAGATTCCAAGAGCAAACGACCTGCCTGCTTGTCTGCCTCCAGGGTGACTGTGCCATAGCCGCCCTGCAGCACGTTCTTGACACCCAGTTCCTCGAAGACTGCCTTGCAAGTTTGATCTGCCCTTGTCCTGCGAAAAGGAGCAAACGCCTTTTGCTCAGCAGAGTGGGCTGCGTTCAAAAGGAGCAACCTGGCAACAAGGGCCAAGCATAGACTGGGATCAGGCCCATTGAAGAAGCCAACTTGAAGCAGAATCCAACTTGAAGTCAGCACGATCGCGGGAGGCGATGATATGTACTGAAGCAACAAAATAGTCAAATTTGTTCTAAAAAGGTCCATATCCCTGGCAACACCAGCAAAAGACAACAATAGAACATGCTGTTCAAATGTTCAACTCCCTGTTGGCGCTTGGCTCTAGGCACGAGTCAACTTAATTCCCTTCTGCCTTCTACCCTTCAAAGCCACAAGAGGGGTTCCCCAGTCTAAAGAAACCACGGCCATTTTGAGCAGCATAGACCGCACTTGCAGGCAAAGCGCCTCGTACTGCAAGGCGGCGTTGCTCCAGGTGAACTCTGCGGACGCGGCCATGGCGGCTTTGGTCATCTCCGTCACCTCACGCCCCAACGGGCCAAGGAGGGCCGGGGTGCCCCAAATGACTTCGGTTTTCCCACTTCTCGGTCCCACTTCTCCTTGAACCAAAAAGCTATGAACAAACAAGGGTACCCCTCTAACAAAAAAAGGCTGCAATTCAGTCGGTCTGGCGTGACTTTTCGCGGTGTTTTTACATCCAACTCCCTGCAAACGTGACACATATCGCGTTGCCTCATGTCTGAAGCTACTCAATGAGAATGACTGGTCCTTTCCAACCACCACAATGGCTGCCCGAGCACAACAGGCTCTTCAAAGCCCAGTAAAACCGACGTGACATCGTATGCCATTGCTTCTTCGTCGTCATATCCTGGCCAAACAAAGTGCCACTGACATCTAGGGTATGTTCAATTCGCACCCGGTGTTCGCATTGGTGATATTTAGTTGATGCCAAGGTGAGTGTCCCAATGCTCAATAGAGGTAATCTGTCAACATACCATCTGCGCGTGCTCATCACTGTTGCGTCAGAGCGTCCGCAAATATGTTGACATTCTGTGTATAGTCTAGCCTGAGGCTTTTGTGCGCCCCTGTCTACGCGCATTCTTCCTGCCCTGAACAAAGAAACTCTGTCACCTCTTCCTAGATGAGGTCGTTGGTGCACTCATTGGTTTGGAAACATGCGGGCCACAAACAATAATGTTTGCTATTGATTGTTCCCGCAAAGAGCATCGACAGCTTGGGTGGTCACCCTGGTGTTGAGGCCTCAATGCCAGATGCTGGCTGCAATGCGCCCTGGTGCTTCCCCATGTGGGGGTTGATCAATATTCCTGGCCCCAAAATGAGCATGGGTAACTTCTCCCATTTGGTGGTGAAAGTCATGTTTTTGTGTTTTCCCCAACCCCATGTAAAGGACCTTTTGATCAACAACCCCATGTGCTTTCTTCGCCCGGTTTGGGGTCTCTCTCGTGCGGCTCTCCCGGAGAGCCTTCTGCGGCTCCTCCTGGAACAGCGCGGCCGCGCGCCGCAGCGCCTTGGAGATGGAGGCCACAGAGTCCTGCGCGAAGGAAGTGGGCGAAAAACATCCGGCGCTCGGTCGCAGCGCTAGGGGCCGCAGGATTCTACCAGTATCAAAGTCACCCAAGTGGAAACCACCCCAGTTTCTGACTTTAACCCAAGATAAATGGTCAAACAAATGCCCCCAGTATGCGCATGACATGTTTTGTTGCTCATGTTCAGCGCAAACAAAGCTTTGGAGGCGAGAAACATGCCAATGTGGACAATGCTTTGCGAAAGTAGATGTATGTCCAACTGTCCGCACCTCATCGATCGCGGCTTCCACGCTCATCTCGGCATCGGTCCAAATACCGTTGAGGCCATCCTGCGCAGCGCTTCGGCACTTCGGCGAATAAAGAATTGGCCACTGTTCATGACACGTCAATTCCCAGCCAGCGAAAGCAACGACCACAGGTAATACAAGCCACACAGCCAGGAAAGCAAAGGATTTGTGCCGTCCGAATGACATCTTTTCATGGGCCCCGCACCCATTGGTGGACATCATGACGTCAGACTTCGCGGTTCCACCTCTTGAAACTCAGCTCTGGCCTTCAAGGGCAACTCTGAGCCGAACAAATCCCCACCGGGGAGCACACGTTGAGGGCAACACGTTGGAGCAGTCAACCCCTGGTTCCGTTGCAGGGAAACCACATGGAGCTTGTTCAAACCATACGCATGTCTTGAAATAGCGGACCCTCCGAAATGGCTCTGTTTCCTTTTTGCTTCCCTTTGAACAAGAACCAAAAGGAGGCTCCCCCAAAAAAAAGGAGACGAGCCAGCCGCGGTCGGGCTTCTAACATGGCAAGGAGCCCCGCCTCCACGGTGTCTTTCAGGCCACCGGTGGGCGCCACGATGGGCAGCGTGCCCATGCGCATAGCCTCCATCTGCACCAAGCCGCAAGGCTCCCACCTGGCGGATTGGGTCCAACCAGCGGCCAAAGACGTGACAACAACAAAGTGATCAGAGAACCAGGCATTGTTTCGCCTCTGCGCCTTTTGGCGAGACAAGAGCAGTGTCGCAACAAGCACAGCGAAACGGTGTCAGCTGAAAACTGGGACACATTTCTGGGAAAGGCGGCATTAAGTCCATGAGCGCAGGATGCCACGCTCGACGCTTGCCCTTTCTCCCTCCTGGAGGGCAGCAGAGTGAAGTCGCAGCCCGCCAGCAGAGCATAGCGCTCCGGGCCCATCCAGCCTGCAGATAGAGTAGGCAATGCGAAAGCCAAAAGTCTTGTCAATGACTCGCACTTGCTCACCCAGTCCGGCACATCTCCCGGGACAGGCAACAAACTCAGGCATACCCAAAGTTCTTGAAATTCTTGAATTGAGGTTTGCCTCTCACAAGTCCGATCATGGTTCAGGTATTCGAGTCTGCTTTGAATGTCAAGCGTATGCGGTTGAAGCCAACAGACACACAGTCAAAGAGAATCCAGGGCTTGTCTTTGGCAAACAATAGGGCTGTGGGCAATGGAATCCATATCTGTGATACAACAAACGGGCTTCCTAAAGGGCAAACAGGTCACTTAGGGATCGCTCAAACGGTTCACTTAAGGATCACGGTCACTTAGGGATACACGCTCACTTGAGGATCACATTCACGGATCACTTGGGGATCACATTCATTGATGACGGGGGTGGGGAGGGGGGGGGATGATAAGCACACCCGCCCAACAGCTGCAGACCAGCCTGCTCCTTTACCGGATTACAAAGTAACATGGCTCTGGGGGGGGGGGGGGTTGGGGGGTGCATGGTAACAACTGCTGCAGACCAGCCTGCTCTGTTACCGGATTACAAAACAACATGGTTCTGGGGAGGGGGTGGGGGGGGGGGGGATGATAAGCACACCCGCCCAACAGCTGCAGACCAGCCTGCTCCTTTACCGGATTACAAAGTAACATGATTACAAAGTAACAAGGCTGCTGGGGGGGGGGGTAACAACTGCTGCAGACCAGCCTGCTCTGTTACCGGATTACAAAACAACATGGTTCTGGGGAG